TCATATGCTCTGGCATAGGCTTTTTTAGTATTGGTTGACAAACCAGCTTGTGCTAGTGACCTACTGTGTTTTAACAGTGTATTAAAAGCATAACTAGGTCTGTGAACTGTGGAGGTTTTTGGAGCTGCACTTTCGCTGTAGGATGTATTCTGAAAAACTCCTGTAAATTAAAACGTGAGAGTGCATAACCTGTGTTGTTCAGAATGCCTGGTACGTGGATACAACATAGACAGAACTGTAGATTTGCTGTTAACCAGGTAAGTTTCCTCACTAAATTCATTATTGTAAGGGACTGAGAGCGGCCTTTGTTGATAATGTTTCATGCTGCTAAGTTGTCTGAAAAGCACCTAATTGTTTTACCTTTCCATTCCTTGTGTGCTGCAGTATCACATCATGCCATGTTCTGCAGAGATGTCTGGCCATGGCTTCTGGTATCCAGTACTCTTTTTACAATTCTTGTTTAGTTTTTCTGGTTTTCTATTCCATGTCTGGTTTTCTTTATGCTGGGTTTTTCTGGGTTCATTTCTGTATTCCGTCCCGGGAATTCCTAGTCTCCAGGGTTTCTTTAAATGTTTGTTTTATGTTGCCACACCCGTTCCTTTTCCATGATTCCCTTTGTTTCAGTTGGAGTCTGCAGGCAGTTGCTCAAGCCTTCTGTCCTTTCTTGCAAGTAAGTGCTATATGTGTCTCTTATGGTTCTTTTAGCATACATTAGGCAGAGTAGGACCTGCCAGATATTGGGGACATTGGCGTTGTTGGCAGGCTTATGCAATGTTTGATCATACAATGTAACTAAATCCCCATGATACTTCCTGATATTATTTTTAAATCTTTGTCCCTCTAATTTAAGAACATAGTCTTAAATTAGAGGGACAAAGGTTTAAAAATAATATCAGGAAGTATTACTTTACTGAGAGGGTAGTGGATGCATGGAATAGCCTTCCAGCTGAAGTGGTAGAGGTTAACACAGTAAAAGGAGTTTAAGCATGCGTGGGATAGGCATAAGGCTATCCTAACTATAAGATAAGACTAGGGACTAATGAAAGTATTTAGAAAATTGGGCAGACTAGATGGGCCGTATGGTTCTTATCTGCCGTCACATTCTATGTTTTCTATGATTTTCATATATAGTACTTAGTTATTTCTCTTCTTGTTTTGCCTATCATATATTGTCTTGTTTTTATATTCCCAGTCCATGTACTGTCCTGACCTGTCCTGCCAATGTTATGTCAATGGTTCCCTTATGTGTGGTGTACATGTTCTGGGTTTAGCTTTCTATCCTTCTCTGGTTCTGGGTTCTACTAGTTTTGTCTTGTTTTGGTGCCTGTTCTAGTCTTGCCTTGTTTCTGTACTGGTCACATGCTTGCTGCAGAGGCTCCTTTTCCAGTTCCTGGGAGGTCTGCATATCTTCTACTTCCTGGGATCCGCTGTAGCTGTATCAGGGACCTAGTATGAGGCCGCACAAACGCTGGTGCTCAACACCAGTGGTTACCCTGCACAAGGCCCTGATAAATCCACTTCCACGCTGAAGACTCCCAACTTCTCATCAGGCACTTAGGGGTCCCAGTTTTCATACCGCCACCTGTGACATACTATTGTGAAAATTTCGAACAGTGCTGAGGTCTTGTTGAAATTCTCTAATGAGGAGGTTTCTGGTGGCCAAGTGTCATATACCCAGTTGTTTTCCGAAAATAGCAGCTTAACCTATGGCGCCTGCTGTGTCAGTCCAAATTACAGGGGAATCATCAGAGATGGGGGGAGGGGGGAAACTGCCATTCCAAGAGGATAAAAAGAGATGCAACATTCTTAGGTCGGCCCTAGCTGGTTCGTCTAAAGTAGTTCTAGAGTCGTCATCAGGAAGACCATGTAGAAGAGAGAGTATTCTAAAGATGAAAGACCTTCCTTGAGGAATAATCCTCATAGCGAAGTTGAGTGATCCTAGAAGTGAATGTAGTTCTTTCCTGATGAAAGACCCCTGTGAGGTGCAGATTTCAATATATGTTAAAATCCTATTTACCTTTTCCTGAGGCAGGCTAGGTTACATGGAAACTGAATTTAGCGTGATACCCAGGAATGTTATCTTGGTGCTGGGACCTTCTGTTTTGTCTGGGGCCACCGGAACTCTCAGATCTTCAAATAGTGAAAGCATGTGATGTAGACTGCATGATGTGAAGTGGTGTGGTTCAATGGAGAGAAAATCGTCCAGATAGGGAATCACTACTGGGCATCAGCTTTTGTTAAAGTAAGAGCCAATTAAAGGTTTCTGCGAAAATACTGAAGATTTTGGGGCTACTTTTGGAGCCAAAAGTTAGTTTAGTCGCGAAATAATACTTATTTTCCCACTGAACGCCATGCAGATGCCAGAGTGATTGATGAATTGGTAGTAAATGAAAACAAAGAGAAACAGTACTGTCCAGTGGCATATTGTGAAGTTAAAAATTAACTTTTAATATATCGAATAAAAAAAGGGGCTAGAGGGATATCTTGCACTTGATGAATAACACAAAATCAAAACAAAAAGGAAGGGGTAAGGGAAGGGAAATATATACAGAAAATAGACTGGTAGTTTCTTCAAACGTAATTATAAGAGTAGACAGTAAAAAAAAAAACACTACTGATTGTCTTGCTGTGATATGTACAGTAACAGCTAGGAGCAATGAAAGTTACACTGTAGCTATTTCCCTAAGGAGAATGTAATGATAGAAACAAAGTATCCAATTAGCCAATTTACGGAGAGCCTTAAATAGCGGAGTAATGTAGATAGAGGTGGCTAAATAGGAAGATAGTGGAGTAATTAACCTTAGCTTGCACTGAGTAATCACAATGAACAAATGCTGGCAGACTTCAAAAACTGGGAAAGCCAAAAGCACAGTTAACAGACTATTACAGAGCAATACTGTCCAGATATTGAATAACAGTGAGACAAAGAAAAAAAACGGTGAGTGGCTAGTGCAGATCCTAACTATGTCCGATACCTTAACGGACAACTAATAGCTAAACCGTGCCTTCAAGGGCACCTAAGTCTGATAGGAACTTGACTACTAGCCAAAAATAGAAAAACTAACCTCCGGTAGTCAGGATAGTAAACTACCATATATACTATATAAGCCGACCCGAATATAAACCGAGGCCCCTAATTTTACCACAAAAAAATGGGAAAACTTATTGACTCGAGTATAAGCCTAGGGTGGGAAATGCAGCAGCTACTGGTAAATTTCTAAATTAAATTAGATCCCAATAAAATTACATTAATTTAATATTTATTTACAGTGTGTGTATAGAATGAATGCAGAGTGTTTGTGTGTGTGTATATAATGAATGCAGTGTGTGTTGTGTGTTTATATAATGCAGTGTGTGTTTGTGCAGTGTGTGTAAACTGGATGAGGGGAGGGCATTTTTATTTTAATTTTGTAATTTTAATATTATTATATTATTAGTTTAATAATATTATTATTTTATTATTTGCATTATTGTCCCCTCTCCCTGCTTGTTGCCTGGTCAGGGAGGGGGGACAAAAAAACATTTTTTTTTTAAATAGGGAGGGGGGACAAAAAAAATGCAAATATTAAAATAATAATATAATAATATTATTTTAATAATATTATTTTATTATTATTAAACTAAAATAATACTGAATCCCTGGTGGTCCAGTGGCATTGGCAGTTCAGTGGGGGGCTGACAAGGAGCTTTTACCTTCCTGCAGCTCCCTCCTCTCCGTGCAGCTCCTCTGTCAGCTCCGTTCTGTTTACAGTGCAAGTCTCACAAGACTTACACTGGGAGCAGAATGGAGCTGACTGGGGAGCTGCACGGAGGAGGAGGGAGCTGCAGGAAGGTAAGTAAGAGCTCCCTGTCAGCCCCCAACAGGACCGCCGGGCTTGTAATGAGCCCGGCGGCCCTGGTCTGTATTGTGGCAATTTAAATTGCCACAATACAGACATTGACTCGAGTATAAGCCGAGTTGGGGTTTTTCAGCACAAAAAATGTGCATCGTTTTAAAACACTTTTCGTGTTCTATGAACACAGAAGTCCCTCTAGTGGCTGTCTAGTATGAAAACTGCAATAATTACACTTGCAGGGTTAAGGGTAGTGGGGGTTGACTCCCAGACCACTCCAATGGGCAGAAGTGGTCTGGGTGCCTGGAGTATCCCTTTAAGATTACCTTTTCTTGGATTTGGAAGAAGCTTTTCTATTGCTTGTAATTTTAGATTTTTCACTTGACCATTGTGGAAATTCTGAACATGTCTAGCTACAAGAGTATGTGTGATAGTGTTTTTAATAAAAAAACAATGTGTTGTAGGATTCTATGCCTAAATTGGTCTTTCCAATATATTGCTTCCCACAGTCACAAGTCATAAGATAAATGATGTGTGTGGTACTGCAGTTGATCAGAGCGTTGGTATGAACACTAACTTTAAAACAGATTGATTGAGCTATTTTAGATGGGGGATGTACTTACAGGCTTTGCAATGGCCACATTTAAAGGTCACTTTAGTCTGTGTAAGCCAGTTAGAAGTGGCTGGTGGAGATTCCAAATGGCTGTGAACAAGCATGTCCTGTAAGTTCCTTGCTGTCCGAGCTGTTAATTATGGATGATCAGGTAATGTGTTTTGTAGTATTGGATTGTGACATAGTATGAGCCATTTTTTTAATAGAATGTTGGGCATAGTGGCCCAGCCACTGTCAAATGTAGCAATGCATCTCAGGGTGGAGTTGGTAGTCTTAATGCATGTAGATCTGAGACTAGTGAGTCTGTTTGTTTGGCTAGCACATTGGAACACCTTCTTGAGGAACCTGTTGGCATAGCCCAATGACTTAAAGCGTGTTTTTAGTAATTGGCATTCTTGATAGAAAGAAGTATCCTCCGAACAGTTTCTTCTGGCGCGAAGATACTGACTGTAAGGGATGGAGGCCCACAGTTTATAGGGATGGTAGCTATCCCAGTGAAGGAGGCTATTGGTTCAAGCTGACTTTCTATATAGGTGAGTTTGTATAGTCCCATCCTCGTGAAGTACAATTCGAAGGTCCAAGAAAATTAATTCTTGTACATCAATGACTGAAGTCAACATTGAATTGACATCATTAATGTTTAGGCCATTGACAAATTCCTCAAAGATAGGTACTGAGCCTGTCCAGAGGAGCAGCATGTCAATGTACCTGTACCACTTGAGGATGTAACCATGGTACAGGTGGTACTGAGGTGATTTGATGACATGCTGCTCCCACCATCCAAGAAACAAATTTGCGTAGGTAGGGGCACAAGCAGTTCCCATATTTGTACCAGTGAGTTGTAGATAATAACTACCATTAAATATAAAGTAGTTATGGGTCAAAATTTAATTTAATAAATTCAGTATTGTAACGGAACCTTCCGTTAATGGATGCTTCCTAGCTTGCGCCGAGGACCACAAGCACTGCACCGGACACCACAACCACTGCAGACTCCACAACCGCCGTAGCTTAACTGGAGTCTCGCCGTCTTCTGTCCACCCTGGATCAACTTCTGTCCTCCAGGACCGTGTGGGGAAGACCTCTCCTCCAGGAGAGCGTAACAGGAACAGCTCTTAAAAGAGCTAAGTGATTAAAAGCTCAAGGGAGTATGCAGAGCATAGCAATCCCCAGTGTGATTATAGCAGTTCCCTTCAATAACGAGACAATGCTACGTATTGAGGGTCAGGAAGATCTGTATTACTTGGCACCAAAGGGCCTTCTTTTATGCAGGTTTTCCCTACATAGGACCACCCATAGGGTTTTTCAGAACAACCAATAAACACATTACAACATATACAATGGAAGTACAGCAGCCAATCAGACACAATGGGACAATAGAAACACACCCATCATATTCCTCCCCTCTGCTAATTACTGTATCTACTCAATTATCTCCAAGCTGAAAAGTTACACTTGGGGACAAACATATCCAAAATGCACTTGAATAGGTTCAGGGGTTTAAACGTTAGGTCAAAGTCCTTTGTTTTCACATGCAAGCATGGCTTTTCCTGCCCAAACCAGTTCTCACTGGTCTGGCAGTGTCCCTGGGACAACTCTCTGCTCGAGAACAATGGAGCTGGGGGAGGGGAAAAGGCACACCTTCCCATGAATTCAAAGGGGCAGAAAAAGTGTCTCGAAAGTTTCAGTATGTAAGGGTAAAAGTTTCAGTATGTATATAAGGGCCAGCACCGTACAATAAAAGTCCATATGCCCAAATGCTGGTTTAAACACGTACAATCTCCCAGGGGCCATAGTCGCAGGGCAGGAGGCTGGCAAGCAGGCCTCTCCAGGACCAAGTGGCGAAGTGCACTTCGTCACAAGTATGAAGTTGTTCTTAGGAGGATCATAAATGGATTGATCCAAGAAGAATTCACATGCCTGGATTCATTTCTCCTGTGGTATATTGGAGTATAGGTACACCACATCCAAACTTGCCAGCAGAGTATAAGGGGGGACCCGTAATCCCTCAAGGGTCAGTAGAGTTGACTTAGTGTCCTGCAGATATGATGGCAGGGTTATGACCATAGGTCATAGAATTTTATCAATAAACCTACTGGATCTTTCTGTTAAGCAGTTGTTTCCCGATACTATGGGTCTACCAGGTGGATTGTTCAGATCTTTATGTATCTTTGGTAGACAGTAAAACGTGGCTATAGTGGGGTTTTTGTGTGGTAGTATGTATTTGTATTCTTGGGGGGTGATAATATGTTGTAATACAGCTTCCAACAGTATATGGTCTAATTCTTTAATAAAGTCAACCGTGGGGTCCTTAGGCAAGGTTTTGTAACAGAGATGGTCATCCAAATGTGTCATACACATTTTAATGTACTTATCACGATTGAGAAGTCTGACATTGCCTCCTTTATCAGCAGGTTTTATGATGGTGTTTACTGCTTGTCTTAATTCTTTTAAACCCCTGTTTTCCATTGGGGTTAGGTTGTTAGGTGTGGGGGTGGTGCTTTTTTCCAGTTCACTGGTTGACATTTGGACAAATAGGTCCACATGCGGTAGTTCCTTAAAATTGGGGGTGTACCAACTGTCAGGTTTCAAATCAGTCAATGGATTATTGGGGTTTTGTTCCTCTAGAAGGTCAGTTAGGTTTTGTGCCAGATGGAAATCCTCAATGGTCAGTCCTAAGTCACTAGCTGTTTGTATATCTTTTTAGCGTGAATGATATTAAGGGTGAGTTTTCTACCAAACAAGTTGATGTTTTTGGTCCAATCAAAGATATTGCATTGTGGGGTTGGTACAAATGAAAGGCCTTTGCTAAGTAAGGAGATATGTCTGGGTTGTAGCGTAAAGTCAGAAAGGTTAATGATCCTATTAGAAAGTAATTCTTCATGCGACCCTGCTGCATGTATGCCCATCTGTCCCTGTCCCGTAGTCTCCCTCTCTGCAGGCGAGGGGAGCCCTGTTCCAAAAAAGGAGCTGACTGGGGTAAGGAGGGGTTATTGGTATCTACAGGAATGGGTATGTCTAAAAAGGACATGGTTTTATCAGTCTCCTTTAAGATGCTTCTTTGGGCTGTGGGTTTAGCTGGGAGTACTCGGTTTCTGTCTGTACTATTGTTCCTAGAGCGAATTCTCTGTTGTGCATTAGAACTGCTATCTGTATCAGACCAGAAGGTTTCCCCTGAGGTTGAATTGTTGTAATTGCTGTTTTAACATCTTAGGTTTTTAGCTACAGCTGTTACTGCACGTAACACAGTAAGACATTCAGTAGTTTTTTTACTATATACTCTTTTAGTTACGTTTGAAGAAACTACCAGTCTATTTTCTGTATATATTTCCCTTCCTTTTTGTTTTGATTTTGTGTTATTCATCAAGTGCTAGATATCCCTCTAGCCCCTTTTGTATTCAATATATTAAAAGTAAAACTTTAACTTCACAATATGCCACTGGACAGTACTGTTTCTCTTTGTTTTTCATTTATTTCTAAGGGTTATCCCCTATTACTACTGTCCCTTTATTTGCTTCAATTCCTCTGAGTTTATGAATTGGTAGTAATTTAAATGCATTTGTAATGTCTGTTTTACTTAACCAAGCTGCCTTGCCAGAGTTAATAATCGTAATAGCTTGTATGGCATCGTCTATTTTTTGCATATTGTAACAAGAAATCCTCCCCTGGTATTAGTGCATTTAGACTAGGTGTAGTAGAAGAGTGAGGTGCTGAGAAATCAAGTCTTTTTTTATTGTTAAATTTTCCTGTAGCTATGCTTAGAGGGTTCATTCTCCACTAAGTGAATGGTGGGGTAGTAAAGGGCCCTGTCATGAAACCATTCTCAATTTCTCTATTGAGGAGTTCCTGCAGACTACTTGGGTCTGTGAGTGCGAATTGTAGGTCGGGGCATTCTAGAATTCCTGTGGGGGGGGTGCAACAAGTCCAGTGTGAAACCCACTGGAGAAACCAGAGGTGAGAAAGTCTACAAGATTTGAAGAAGGATAATCAGTCAGGTAACGTTGCAAATTTGGTACATTTATTGGGGTTGAAGATCTTTTTGGGAACAATTTGTTCGGACACACACACGTGAAGAAGTCTGCAAGCACTGTAAGTACATCCCACTGCATTGAAGTTATTACACATTTGAGCTCTCACATGAAAAATTATAAGCCTGCCTAATTTATATTTCAATTCTCTTTGAGCCATATTGGGTTGAAACTCTGGGTTGGCATTGCCAGTGGAAGGTATCGCCATGTTATTGGGACAGAAATTAACAGTATGTGAAGCTGAGGAACATATTGCACATGATGGTGTTTTAAGACGCGCAAAATGTCTACAAAACAAATCTGTGTCTTACTGGCCCCAGTCAGTAGGATTATTATATTGGGCCAGTGACGCAGCAGATCTTGCGGTAATCATAGAAGGCGTGGCCTCCGTA